CTGGTTTTGGAGTCAAGAGGACCTGAGTTCAAATCTAGCCTCAAACACTTGACACTTACCATCTGTGTGACCCTGGGCAAGTCAATTAACCCTGATTGCCTCCCCCCCCCCAAAAAAAATGTTGTGTGCATGTTGAGATTAAAATATGCTGTAATCTAACATTCTTATTGTTTCCTCAACTAGGACTATTCATTAGTTCAGCATTAGTCATATGTATATTTGATGTAGCACACTTTAAACTGATTACAAAGCAGTACAGTGTAGTTCATAGAGTCTGGGATTTGCAGTCAGGAAGATCTAGGTTTGAACTCACCCCAGATGAGCTCTGTAAGTGATAACTAACCTATGGGTTTGTTTTAAAGCCCAAAGGAGATAGCATGTGTAAAACTCTTTGCAAACTTAAATAGGCTGAGTAAATGTGAGTGATTATTTTAAGTATTGCCATAGAATATAAAGCTTAGAAATAATTTTATTTACAAGGTCTTTTCCCCTCGTTGCTAATAAAAATATACCTTCCCAGTGCAAAGGAATTGGTGAGCTGTTCCCCTTGAAAAAAATGTTGCCATAGCTCAGAATTTAAGACTAAATTTTGGACTTTCATCATAAAAGAAAGCTCTCATTAAGTTTCTTGTAAACATTTCTTAAATAGCGGAGAAAGCTATTATTTACTTAATTGACAAACACTGGTGAAAAATTTCTCTTTGAATCACCGATTCACCAGCTAACAAAATATGATTGGATTTATAATAGCAATAACTACTGAAGTAAGAGCATTTCCTTGAATCTGATCTTTAGGGTGGGGAAGAAGGTGGCCTAAGGCACAAGCTTTGACATTAACTTAAGTGAATACCTTAGTTAATCCATTGAAAATATTTCTAGAATTTGTATTTTATTGCATCACCAAATTGAGGCAACCGAGGGGGTAAGGTGCCCATCAGTCGGGGAATGGTTGAGCAAGTTATGGCATATGAATATGATGGAACACTATTGGACATTGCTAATGTAGAAATTTGTTTTACTTTACATATTTGTAACAGTTTTGTTTTTCTTGCTTTCCTCATAGGTGGAGAAAGAGGAGGGAGAAAGAGATGAGGACTTGAAAATAATATTTTAAAAAATTTAAAAATCACTAAATTGATGCTTTGTGCATGTAGTAATAATCAAATAATTTAAAAAAAATACAATTAATGGTTTTTGGCCAACTTAACTGGTTGTCAGGCCTGTGTTAAACTTAATTCATTCTCTTATTTCACAGATAGGATGAAAGCATAGCCAATACTATTTAACTTATTAGAAAAGAGTAGCTTGTGACATAGAAAGTTATACTTACTTCACTTATTTTTTTGTGACAGTTAAATTTCAATGCATAATAGAGGGCCTAACAGATGATGTTATGTTCCTAACACTAATATCTCAATTTCAAAAATTAGGCTAAAATACTCATAGACACTAACAAACACATAAAAGTGTATGTCAGAATTTCAGAGCTTTTTTGCAACCATCTTCATGGTCTTTTTGGAAACATTTAGTCCTTGTGATTATTTATACTTCAATCAAGGCTTCCATTTGATTTCAGTTGAATAGTGAATACAAACGTATTTGAAAATAACGGATACATCTAAATCTGTATCAAAACTTTATCCAAGAGGGATGGCAATAGTTAACAACCAATAAAAATCATTTCTCAATTTATCTCAGTTACTCTTAATGGTGAAGGCATAGCAAAAGCTGGTGAGTTATGATTTATATTGACTTTGGAAAGCCATTGTTAATTCACCAAAATGTCCAGTTGAAAGCACTAAAGTATAAGCATGGATCCTTTGAGTTCAGATGAAATGATTTAGGATACCTTTAAAATACTGAACTGAAAAGCTGGAGTTTTCTCTAAAGTGAGAAAGAAGAATGAGAACACTTAAGTGCCTAGGAAGACTTTTATGAACTGATGAAAAGTGAAGTGAGCAAAGCTAGCATCTTATTGTAAAGATAAACAACTCTGAAAGACTTACAAACTTTGATCAACAGAGTGATCAAGCAAAATTCCAAAGACTCATGATATAATATGTTATTTACCTTACAGTTAAGAGCTGATGGACTCAAAAGTGCAGATGCAAGTATATTTTCTTTTTTATTTCCTCTTTCTCATGGCTGATATGGGAATTTGTTTTGCTTGACTTTATATTTTGAAGTAGGTTTTGTTTTTCTTGACTTCTCAAGGGGGGAAAAAGAGGGTAATAGAAGGAAGAGAATTCAAAACTGAAAACAAGACAAAATTGAATTAAAAAAAAGAATGATGCAATAAAGTTATAGAACTTCTAGGCTGCTAGGGAACATCTGTGGGGCAGTGGATAGAGTGCTGGGCCTGAAGTCAGGAAGACTCATCTTCATGAGTTCAAGACTGTCCTCAGACACTTCGCAGTTGTGTGACCCCTGGGCAAGTTCACTTAACCCTGTTTGTCTCAGTTTCCTTATCTGTAGAATGAGCTGCAGAAGGAAATGGCAAACCACTCCAGTATCTTTACCAAGAAAACCCCAAATAGGGTCATGAATACAAAAGGGACAAACTTAAAATTTCTCACCTTTTTATTCTAAAGATAATAATCCCTGGTATCTTGTGCTTGTAGTGGATAATGACTATTACAACTCTATAGTGGATTAGAAATACTGCTTATATTAGCACTCATAAAATAAGTATTTGGTTTAGGACTATGAATAAAGATCATTCAGCCAGCTGGCTTAGAGAGGAAATGAGAAGGATAACTGGCTTGAAGTGGGATGGTAATGAAAAGGTACAGTTTTGAGGCAAGGGAAAAAAAAACCAACAGGAGACTTTAGAAGCTCTCTTCAGATGCTTTTGAGTGTTTACCAGCTACCTTCTCAAATTACCTCCTGCCTATATTCCCTAAAGTCATAGGAGGCCCCTCAGGAACTAGGGCAGTAATCAATGTAGAGGCCTACAGCATCTGTTCCCAGCCTTGCTCCAAAAGAGCTATCAACTTCAATGCTCCTGCTAATGAAACCTCTCTGAGGCAGTCATTTTCTCTTCCTAGGGGAGTTAAGATATTTTCTTCAGTCATAGATTGGACATCATCGAAATTCCTTAGGGTTTAATACAGATTAGATAAGGAAGTTTGAAGTCTTTGCATGAAAAAAGTGGTGAGACCATTTGTGAAGCAGAACTCCAAATAAGAACTGCTATTGTTCTTTTATTGTTGATGTTCAGTAATTTCCAATTCTTCAAGTCCCCTTTTGGTGTTTTCTTGGCAAAGACACATCAGTGGTTTGCCATTTCCTTCTTTGGCTGATTTTTCAGTTGAGGAATTGAGGCAAATAGGGTTAAGTGACTAGCCCAGGATCACACAGCTAGTAAGTGTCTGAGGACAGTCTTTAAACCAGGAAAATGCATTATTATGAATTTTTCAACATTTCATCTGTGTATTGTGACCTCATTGGAGAGAAATCAAAAGTCATAAAAATCATAAAGTCATAAAAGACATAAAAACTCCTTTACATAGAATGGTTTTCCAAGGTAGAACACAATTTGCTCTAAGTTAAGAAAAAGACTGCAACAGTTAATGCAAATTTAAAGTCCAAGACAAATTGTATTTTCATAGATTTCTCAACTAATTTACAAACATAGGCACTTAGCTCATTTGACTCTAACTTTCCAAGATAAGAAAATTTTAGATTTTTTAGGGGAAAAATTCAATGAAATGCACAGTACCAGAGGCAGCTAGGTGGTAGAGTACATAGAGCACTGGACCTGCAATCAGAAGACCGAGTTCAAATCTAGCCTCAGATATTTGCTAGCTATATTACTCTGGGTGACTTAATCTTTCTGTGCCTATAAAATGGGGTGACTAATAGCACCTATCACCCAAGGTCATTGTGAGGATCAAATAAGATAACATATGTAAAACACTTTGCAAACCTTAATGTGTTATTATGAAGCAGCTGGTGTGCAGTGGTTAAAATGCTGGGCCTGGAGTCAGAAAGACTTACCTGAGTTCAGTTCTGGCCTCAGACACTTACTAAATGTGTGACCCCAGGCAAGTCACTTAATCCTTAATCCTCAGTTTTCTCATCTATAAAATGAGCTGGAGTAAGAGATGACGAACCACTCAGTATCTTTGCCAAGAAAACCCCAAATGGGGTCATGAAGGGTCAGACACGAATGAACAACACTTACTAGCTTACAGTGACCCTGAGCAAGGCACTTATATCTGCCTTAGTTTCCTCAGCTGTAAAATGGGGATAATAGCACTGACTTTGCATCGTAGTATAGAAATGCTTATTCTTCCCCTCAACCCTCAAGCCCCCAGTAACATGAACGCAATTCCGTTTGTGTGTGTATACACACATATATGTTGAATGGAACTGCTTACTCTGAGGTGGGTACATTAATGTGTATAGCATGAATAATAGTCAAAGTTTTCATGCAAAAGGAGAGTAGAATAAATTATGCATTTGGTATATTTATTTGGGTTTTATTCCTTATATTGTTTTTGTTGTGAATTTGAGATTTTTAAAAACTAACATGATGAAAATAACTTAGGCATTTGAGATGTCTTCTAAATAAAAAATACTAAAATTCTGAAAAATGAAAACTCTCAGCTAACAATAAGTGGACTGGTGAATCTAATAACTGACCAACTCACTATTCCTTTCGATTAGTGGTATCTTATGACTCCTCTCAGCAGTGATGTAAGTTGAATTCTTGCCTGTCAAGGTTGTGATTGGACATTGTCGACATAAAATATACCTTGATTTCCTGTAGTTTCCATCAAAGTCAGAGGCCCTGGCATCACCTTAAGCAAACTAAAATATTACTGGTCTCACTAAGCATTTTGCTGCTACGGATTATAGGATTAGGATTTAGAAAAGGATTTCTCCCCCCCCCCAAATTTCTCTCCCCCTCCCCTCGTGAGGACAGCAGCTCTAGTCTAGCTATGGAACAAAGACAAACTAGAGTGAAGGAGAAAGTGTCAATTTTAATCATGTTTTGTTCACCACCAAAAGTCTATTAAAATTACTTTCCATTTCCTCCTTCCTAGGTGAAACAGGTTTATTTCTCTGATCTTCAATATTAATGCGCAGCTTAACCAATCTACATTAAAGGGCACACTCAACTGGAATAGGTTATCTGTACTTCAAGGGAGAACCATCTTGTGAGACTGTGGAAACAAAACTTTTTCTACTCATCTAGTTTGGCTTTTTTTGTGACTAAAGAGAAACCTGGCCAGAGTACAATCAATCAGGCACCATTTACTGCGGTTCACTATTTGCATATTCTCCTAAAGTCAGGCCTGAAGGATTAAGATAAAAATTGCTTATTTGCTATGTACTATTTCTTTCAGAAAAAAAAGGAAGAGGAAATGCTTTACAAAACGACCCATTGTAATTTTCCCCCAAATTATACACAGGGGTGTCAAATTCAGACACTTTGTAAACATGAACCAGTAGCACATAATAACCTATTAAAGAGAGGTAATTTGGGGTCGTTGTGATAGGTCTCTATTAATAGCAGGTAAATCTCTTCTAGCCGTTAGCTATAATACCCAGATAATTTGTGCAAAATTAACTCTTCCAGATCCAGAAAGCAAACATTGCTTCGTCCAGTCTTAAGTGTACTTAAAAAAAAACAACACACACAGATTCATTGTAGAAGACATCCACATCCCTTACATTAAAACACACAAAAACCCAACCACTTTGGTCTTTCAATGGAATTGAAGTTTTGATGGGGGCCAGGGGAAGTGTCCGTCAGTCAGTCTATGATTAAGTCCCCTATTTCCATCAGGACAATTTCACCACACACACTGCCAAGATAACAGCTATGATGAGCACAGCACTGAAAACAATCGCAGCCAGAAGTTTGCTAATGTCACAAAAGCCTTTTCTCTCTTCTACAGAGACGAAACCCCCCGAGGAAGCTCCTGCACTGGTGGTGGATTTGAGCTCTGCCCCGGGATCCTGTTTGGCCTCCACGGTCCACTGAGGCACGTTCACTTTCATCTCCATCTCATACATCATCTCTCCCACCTTGTGGATCTCCTGCTCCAGGTCCTTCAGATCCACTTCATCGATGTTGCGGTCGGCCTCATACTTCATGTTCTGGACGCTCATGGCTCGTGCAGCCACGCCCGCGGTGCCTCCGGACATGCCCGTCTGGATGAGGTGCTTCTTGGGCACGTTCAGGGGGAATTCCAGCCCCAGCTCCAGGGCCCTCTTCATATCGGTCTCCAAGATCTCCAGGCATGTAGAGAAAATCACCCAGAGGCGCTCGAACTCTGCCTTGTCCTCCTTGCTGACGTTCTTGTCCTTCAGGGCCGCGGTGAGCTTGTTCCTGTTGGCCACAGCCAAATCGTGCGCTTTCTGCCGCGTCTGCTTTAGCTCCTCGCGCAGGTTCTGCGAGTCCGCGGTGCCCCCCACGCTGAGGACCATGTGCCGGTAGCAAGCTGTCACCCTGCTCAAGGCGTCCAGGAGCGCTTTGCACTCTTCTTTCGCCATACTTCCGACGGGTAGATTGCTGCTCCTCCTCTCTGTTGTTGCTGCGGCTCCTAGGGTCTTAAGGGCCGGCGCTTGACACGGTCTTTTCCCACTCACGCGCTTGGAGAGGCAAGGACCCGAAGGCACCGGCCGCCGCCCTCGGACGTGGTCCGAGCCGAGCTCTTCTTCATCGTTCCCCTCTTCTCTCCATGCAGGTGCCCGGCTCTCGGTGACCCGGGGTTAGAGGGGCCAAGGCTAGCCCGGTGCGGCGCCCGGGACTGCCCCGCACTGAGTTCATCTCCTGCTGGACCCTGCGTCCAGCCTAGCCACGGCCCAGGATTCCCGCTTTTCCTTTTTCTTTCTTTTTTTTTTTTAATCTTTGTGTTTCTCGCCCCTACTCACCGGAGTCAAGAGTACGGGACCGGAGCAGCCATCCCTCCCGCACCAGGTAGAGCCCTGGCCCCGCCGGGGTCCCGCGGCGTTAGCCCTATAATCTGGTAGTTGGTTTCTTTAGCTCCCGGTGCCCCGGGCTCTCCCGCCCTACAGTCTGGGGTGGGCGGTGCTGCTGGGGGCCGGCAGGTCACATGCCTCCTCCGCCCCTCCCAGGCTTATCTCTGGGATGAGCATCTCTGACTGGGGGGGAGATGCTCATTGAAAGACTGCGAGTCCCTTAGATCCCAGTCTGAAGCCGAGAGTCGAGATGGGACAGGGCGTGGCATGGTTAGCTGAGTCCTGGGGGGTCCAGTACTAGAAGGCGGTGGAGGAATGAATGTCACAGAATGTCGGAGAATGGCCTTGAAGTGAGTTCCTATCGGCGCCCCGACACTTTCTTGCCGAGTGACCCAGGAAAAATCAGTTCCTCTCTTTGAGCCCCAGTTTCCCCATTTTGGCAGGGATATTGTGCCTAATTTAAAACCTTATGTGCAAATAAAAACTAGAGCTGTTAGAAAAGAAGACTTGGGTTCAAATTGTGCCTCGCACTTACTGTGTGATTGTACACAAGTAACTATATTTATCTGAACATCAATTTCCTCAACTGTAAAATGGGCATCATACCCGTAGCACCAACTGCATTAGGCTTTTGTGAGACCAATGAGAAAACGTATAAACCTGTTGTAAACTTCCAGAAACCGACTTCCTCCCAGGTTCCTTCCTCCCATAGTATCTTGCATTTAACTACTTTATCTGTATGTATGAATTTTATATTTATGCTGCATATCTTTTTATATGTATGTGTCCTCCCTATTAGAATGTACACTTTCGAGCAGGGAGTGATTAGTTCTTTGTATTTGCATCCCCTCGCATAGGCACATAGTAGACGCTTACGAAATATGTTTGATCTAACTTCATTTTGTGGGTTGAGGAAACTGAGTCCCAGTGAGGAAAAATAATTTTATTTGGGCAAGATCTCAAAGTGCGTTATAGTCAGAGGAAGGACTAGTACCTAGTTCTCCAAATCCCCAGCTCTTGTTACCCAATGGGTGATGTAGGTGGAGAATCGTATTACCCCACCCTCAGAGCCACTAGCAAACTCTCAAGGGTGCAAACTCACGCTTCTATCGAAAGCTACCATACCCCGGCAGACCCCCGAGAGCCTCCCTCTGGCTGCCACAAGTGTCGCACTCGCACCCAGATCCCTCCTCCCTCTAACCGGATGGCCCTGCGCATGCTTAAGGGCGGCAAAGGGCTCTCGTTTCCTCGCTTTGAGAGCTCCGCCTTTCGAACCAGCTAGGCTTTGGCGATTGCTCCGCCTGTGCGTCAGTCTTCGCGGAGGCGGCGACTGATTGGTCGGTCTGCAGCTCCGGGGCTGAGAGCCCTCCGGGGCCAGGGGGAGGGGCTGAGGAGGGGTGGGGAAGCCTCTGCGTTGTCGGTGCAGATGTTGCCGCCTCCGCCTCCGCGTCAGCGTCCGCGGAGATGGGCAGGAAGTGAAACCATGGTACTTACCTGAGTAAGTGGCTGGGATCCGGCTCACCTGGCCTGGGAGGGTGGGGGCGGTGGGCTTCTGAACGGGCCCGGGCTGCGGAGAGCCGGAGGAGCCTCCTCGGTGGCCGCCGGCCCGCGTCCTCAGGTGTCTCTGGCCACCTCGTTCCAGCTCCGCCGAGGCCTCGCCGGGGTATGGTGTCGGGGAAAGCGCCCGGCCCGGCCGGCGGAGGGCCCTGTCATCGTGTCAGCCCCGGGAGGGTCCCCACGGCCTCCCCGGCTCCACGGGGTGTGGGGCCTCGGGGTTTGTCCAGCCCAATCTCCCTCTCCCCCACTCTCCCAGTTCGGCCCCTGCTCCCTCCCCAGCTCCCCAGTCCAAGAGTGCAACTTTTCCTCTTTTTGGCAAAGTGCTAAGCAGGTCTCTGGGCCAGGGTCCCAGGTGTCGGTGCATTTCAGGGAGGGAGTCCTTGGAGAGGAGCCGGTGTCTTCACGCAGGGGGTCTTCATAGGTCCACTTTGATGTCAGTTATCATTCTTGACCTTTCGGGCTTGCAGCTGTCCTGCAGCGGGGCACTTCTTTGTGTGTTTGGAAAACCGAAAGTCAGGGTAATTTCCCACGTCTTGCACTTAGGACTGTCATCTTTGCCACGGTGGTACTTGTCCTGTGAGCTGTGATACTTAAATCTATTTAGTAGCTTTTGCTTGTCAGTGTAGGTAGGTGTAACCTTTTTGTTTAACAATACTCTCTTGGCGTTGATGACCGTGCTGTTTGGTTTTAGGGCAGTGGCTGAGGTTTCATTCTCTCAGAGGTACAGCTGCACAGCTAGGCTACGAGGATCTTCTCTTTTAAATTAAACTTATCCTTGTTTCAGCCTGCTACAACATCTGAGGGCAGTTTTCTCATTTCCCTCTTCCTCTCTAAGTTCTTCTCTCTCTCTAAGTTTTTTTTTTGCTGCCTTTTTTTTTTTGCATCTCTGGATTAAAAACTCTTGGGCAGTTAGAGGACAAAGTAAGTCTGTGTCATTTTAGCCACTGACAGCAGACGTATAAATAAATTTGTTGTTTGTCTCCATTATTCTGGATAGTGCCATAATGGGTTTGGCTTTGTAAGTACAGTATGGAATGTAGTTGCTTCTTAACTGATAGCTTGAAAATATTCCTGGAGTGAGGAGTAGATAGATACCCTTCATTCAAAAACAAGAAATTGGATGTATTAAATAATACGCTTATCCTAAAGTAGCTTAATGACTTGTAAAGGAATTACTATGTTTCTGAGGCCTTCATAGAAAAGGTCCAATATCAGTTTAAAATAATAATATATTGTAGCAAAGCAGTGATATTATTCCACTTAAGAAATAACAGGTTTACCAGAGTTTAAGGCCTACAATGCATTTTTCTTGCATTAACCCCATTGAGATGAGTATTATTTCCATTATACAGATGAGGAAACTAAGGTTACCCTTGGTCACATAAGTAGAGTCTTTATATCTATAGGTGAAAGGGACATTAGATGCTATCTAGTCCAGCCCTTTTATTTTACAGATGAGGAAACTGAGCCCCAGAAAGGTTAAGTGATTGACCTATGTGATTTGTCCATCATGAAGAGGCAGGATTCAAATCCGACCCTTAAATCTGGCTTTCTTTAAATGATACCATTGTGTGTAAGGTACAAAAGCAATATTACTTTGTACTATTGCTTTTGTACTCTTTGTTTAACAAAATGTCCCCAGGATAGGAGCAGATATTGGATTTTGGGAATGATGTTAATTTACCGTTTTAACACTTGTACTCTGTTTTTAGACTGCTGTGATCTTTTACTGATTTCCATAAACTAGGTCAGTGATTAATAATCAGGCAAAAGTTCAATTCATTTAGTACGAGTATTTATTATTGAGCTACTTTCATGTTAACTCTGTCAGTTTACAGAGATCACATTGATATGTAAATTCAGATTTTAACATTCTGGCTTTATTCATTTTGTGCTTATCTCCTTTTATGAGAAAAGTATAATGACAAGTGGTATCTAATGAATTATGGTTTAGATCCAGACTCTTGCCTAAAATAAGGTTAGAGGCAGATGGATTTGGTGACATGTACTGCCTGGGACAAGGTGTAATGGATTAAAGTGAGGTCAAAGAGTTATGGAATGTTGATGCTAAAAGGCACTTTTAGAGCTGTCTAGTTCAACATCCTTATTTTACAGATGAGAAAACAGGTCTGGAGAGGGATTGCCACAGTTAACTCAGTTAATTGGTAGGGTAGATTCAAGAACCTCTGACTCTCCACTCTCTCTTTTGTAGCTTTTGATCATATAGCCCAATCCTCTCATTTTACAGATTAGGAATTAGGCCCAAAGTCAGATAGCAGGTTAGTAGCAGAGACAGAATCCAGATCTCTAACTTCTAGTTGATTCATTCATTTATTCAGCAAATATTTATTGAATTTTTTTTCCCTCGTACTACTCTGACTCATATTGTTTGGTACAAGTGTTTAGTGGTTCTTTACATAGGGATGTGCATGTGTGCATATATACTTCTTCCCAACTGGTTCTAAGTTAACTAGAGGGTAGACACCACATCCCCCTTTTCTTTGCACCTCTTCCCTTCCTCCCCTTCCTATAAGGCCCTTAGTAAATATGAGTTACCATGATCTCGAGAATTTTAGCTTTGAAGACTTGAGTTGTCTGGGTCCAAAACAAGGTAGTACTTGTGGGTGGAAACTTTTGAAGCTTTTGAACCTCAGAGTAATGAGAGTAAGAGATCAGTGTTAAATCTGATTAGAACATTTTACCTTTTCTCGTCTTCCTGCGCAGCCCCTCCTGCCTCCGACTGTCTCACACTGATCAAAGATTTTTTGGAAGATGCTGCTCATCATCTGAAAAACCAAAAACCAAAACCAAACGACTTAAGAAAATGAGGGATCTTTCTCTTTGATAAGTGTCCCTACTCAAGGTGTCATCAAAGACTAAGGAAATACTATTAATACTTATTTTTTGTTATCTACTATGTGAATACTATATGAAGATATGCTATGTGTATATTCTACAAGAAAACTGCTTATTCTGTCAGCATCCTTTGTCAAAATGTATAGTGATTCAACTTGTAATTTGTAATTTGTTCTTAAATATGGCACATGTAATATGTACCAGGCTGGATGTTTTTGTTTGTTTTTAGTTTGGAAGAACCAGAACTATGACATGTTATAATGCTTAGTATTTCTGCATTTAGTTTGGTTTACAGTGATCCTGATGGAAACTTAGATAACTAATATTTGGTTAGATAACTAATATTGGTTTAAGGCACTGATAACTATCTTTCCTGTATTTAGTCTTTTCTGTGGAAATTGTCATTAACATCATCCAAATTCAGGAACTGAAAAATGTATTTAAAGATTTTTCTTAAAATGGAGGATGAGTTCTTTGTCATCCTCTATACAGATATGAGTATAAATGTAATTTTTAACATGAAATTAACTTTATGTTAATATAGTTGGCAGGACATTCCTGCGTGTTCTAAACATGATGATTCTATGTATGATCACATGATAGCCACGTATCTTAAAATCAGCCATATAGTATACATTATGATACGTAATTACTTGAAAGTATTTGATTTTCTTCTTTTTTTTCCCAGGCCTT